TACACTGACAAACCTTTGTTTGCCTTATATGGCTATTGTTATAAATGCGCACAGAGGATCTTTCCACGAGCAACTGACCAATCGTTGAATGAATAGCAGCGTTTACGCCAAATACATGTTTACATTTTACTTTGAACACGTAGTTCAGGTCAATCTAAGATCATGTTAATGGACTGCAAAATAAAAAAAAATGTTCTTACGAACAAAATACAAAGATGAGAAACTATGAAAGATGTTACGGGCGTTTTTAATTTGTTGTTAAATAGAGAAAAATGTTTAATAAAATGTAGTTTGTATCTAGTTTAGAACACCAGCGCTTCAAGGGTAAGGAAAACGAGCAGCATCTCTTATGCATTTAAATGGACAAAACTTTGTCTACATTCGTGATCACGTGTTCGGCCAGGGAATTCACCTGGCAAATGTATTCACCGATAGTACAACAAAGGAATTAAAACAGACACAAATCGCTTTTGCAGTATGACTTTCAGAAACCTAGATTTCCGCCGTATATTTAACAAATGAATTGTTTGTCATTATAAGCACGAAAATAATATTTTTAAAAATGCTTTTCATTCACCATAAGATTCTCCTTTTTCAGGCGTAAAATTCCTGTAGTATTCGTAGTAACCCATAATGCAATACTCATTCAGTTGATTGGTCAGTTAAAATCATGCTGGTGCCTCATTTGCGAATCTGCCGCCAAAAAATATAGTCCCGTTTCCCATGCAAAAAATATTTGTCCTAAAAGAAATTTTAATTCATGACTGCAGAAAATTATATTATAGAGAATACTTATGTAAGTTTGGATGAATGTAAAGGAGATCGATTAATTGAATTTAAATAAATTTTAACATATACATGTATTATCAGCTGATTCTAGGGTGGTGAAAACTGAAACGCAACATAGCTTTTCTGTTTACCATGCCTCCACGTGCTAGTCACTTCCTAACCACATTTCCGTGAATAATTTACCCTATCTCGCTGAAGTCTCGCTAACTCTCGCCAGAGCCACTGCCAGAGCTACTCGGAACTCATCGGGTTTTATAATTTGCAGAACACCGAAAAATAAAAGGTTCCGATCACATTAGTAGGGGTGATGATAACCAATTCATGACAATCAAATTATACGACCCACATACATGTACATCGTCTAATAGAACGATCAAAATCCGTTTTTTTTTTATCGGAGAATTACCTTAGAAATAATTATTTTTCATCTAAAATATTAAGTCTTGCATATGTTTAGATACAGAAATATTATTTACCGTTTTTTTTTCCTTCAAAGTCTATGAAATAATATTGATAATTCTTCGAAATCTCAAATAAGTATTAAGCCGTATTTCGTTTTGAAAATATTGATTCCTAAATATTTTGAACTATTTTGAGTGAAGAATCATGCGTTTGCGTAAACAATCGTGTAAGATCGTGTAACGTGTAGAATCGTGAACGTGAAAGATCGTTCGTGTAACAGGTTTTATCGTGCGTTAATCGTGCGGAATCGTTCGTGTAACGTGATCGTTCGTGTAAGTTGTCAACAATAACGTTCCAGCCACTGTATTTCATTTCATTGTAAAACCAGGTACATGTATACCAGGTAATTATGTAATTTAAAAGCTTGCTTTTTATCAATCGCACGGTAAGAGTGTTGAAAAATAAAAATATATATATTGCTGCTAGTATCCAAATGCTTGTTTGATTTAATTAAAATATGATATCAGCGCTAAAGCCAGAATACCCTCCTGAGACCCTATCAGATTATTGTATTATTTGCCTCCAATCAATTCTACGAGCAAGATGTAAAGGGGGTTGTTTAACATCGTTAATATAGAATTTCCGCTGCCTGGCCTTGTTTAATGAAGAACCTTTAAATGAATTTATCATTTGGCATTCTAAAGACAGTTTGCGACCTTCTTTCTCCTTCTACTGGATACAATTTAACAGTAAGTATTAGTTCTGAAATGTTAGCTATAATAATTCAGATTGTGAAAAACATTTGTAAATAATAATGAACTGTTTCTTTTCCTAAGCAAAATAATGGTTGGAACCTGAATGACAGGGGTATCTTAAAATCATATTGTTATTGTTGACTTGCAGAACAATTTCTCCTCGATCTTCCTTATGTTTCTACCTAAGAATTGATTATATAATAGGAGGTATGAGTGCAACGAGAATATTTGTGATAGTGGTATTTCTGGCGTGTATTTCGTCTTTGACTAAAGCCTATACGTTAAAAGAAGAGCTGAACCTTCATGCAGCAATATTCAATTCCACCTACGACACGAATGTTAGACCGGGAGAAAACAGATCGATTCCATTACAAATAAATGTAACTTTTTACTTCAAGAGTATTAAAGAGGTTGATGAATCTATCAGTAAGTTCTCCATAACTGGAGCCCTTGGTGTGATGTGGAAGGACGATCGTTTAACCTGGGAGCCATCAAACTACGGAGAGGATCTGTATACCACAATTGTCCCACAGAAAAAGATTTGGATGCCTTTCCTTGTCAACATCAATGCATATAATGAATTGACAGAGATTGGTTCCAGTAACATGGATCTAAGGATAGAAAACAATGGAGCAATAACTTGGGTCACGCCTAATATTTTTGAGAGTACTTGTGACGCCGATATGTCTTACTATCCCTTCGATTCTCAGACTTGTACTTTACGATTCTATATACCAGGGTTCATGCCATCTGAGATCACATTTACAATCCCTGAGAATAGCATAAACATGCATGAATACAGCAAGAACAGCCTGTGGGATGTGACAAATACCAGGATGCATACAGCGTTAAACATTCTTCAATTTCAGGAGGTACGAATGTCCGTCACAATGAAAAGACGACCCGTTTATTACGTATCTAGTTTAATATTACCAGTTGCTTTTCTCTCGTTTCTTCAGTTGTTTGTATTCTTGATGCCACCAGATAGTGGAGAACGGGTTGGATTTGCTACTACGGTTCTTCTAGCCATTGCTGTCTATCTCACTTTAGTACAAGATAAATTACCAGAAGGTTCAGAGCCCAGTGTTTCCTACCTCAGCTACAAGCTATTGGGGGACTTCATGATCGGAGTGTTCATGGTCATTGGCGTTATTATTGGGCTACGTTTCTATCACAGAGAACATGAACAAAGAATTCCCGAGTACCTTAAAACGCTTTATAGAATTTCCTTTTGTGACCTCTCCTGTCGTTACTTAAAAAAGCACAAAGTGAATACTGATGAAAAAGAAACAATGGAAGAGATGAAGAACACCGGCCCACTCACCTGGCAGGATATAGGGAAGGCGACGGATCGCCTCTGTCTGTTCATGTTCGGATTCGGTCTGATGAATTGCAACATCGTATACCTGATTGTCATTGTGTCATTTTATTAAAATGGAACTTTATAAAATGATTTATTTAAGAAGTTTATGTCTTACAATTAAGTTTGAGCTACATTCAGATACTCAATATATGTGAGATAAAAACAATAAGAGTAAGCATTGTTTATAAGTTTTATAAGTACATATTGCAACACATACCTAATTACAGTATTTCAGATTTGTCTCAGAAAGTCAAACGACCTTTACCCAAGTGTACTATTGTAATGAATCTTATTTTTATTTTGGGGTTCATCCAAAGCATGTCCATTTACAAACAAAGAAACAGTCTGAAATACAATGGTCAGAATTTTACTTTTTATTCCTTCTCAGGATTTCTTGAATTGAAATGTGATAAAAATTTCAAGAGATCATATCTGTAAATCTGCCTGATCCCATCTCGGATGTTTTAGAGATCCATTTTTGTTTTGATTGTGATTTTTAATGTTTGACTGCACTTTAAAGCCTGAATAATGTTCGCTATCTCCATATAATGTCAGAGAGGTGCATCTATTTTTATTACGTGCTCGTCCTTGCTTAATTCAATTAACAATTAATGATTATTCCCGTTAAACCTCGAAGATAATTGATATACTAATAACATATTCTGAAATTTGTAGGAGTGAGCAAGGAATTAAAATTTATGTATAGTTCTTTTATGTAAATTTATAAAGCTAACTATACTTCCATCATACTCAAGTAGATTAGACTGTGAGGGATAATGACTGAAAAGTCAATAATTTTTGTAACAGAGAGATTTCGTTGCTCTTATGTTCTAGTCAGAATAAATCACTTATCAACAACTAATGAAATATATACCAGAGCCTATCATAACATTAACTCTCCAATGTTTAGGTTACAATATCAGAAGTTTCAAAAATGAGTGTATCATATATATCAAGTACATTATTGAATGTTTTATTATGATAACTGTATTAAACGATATCGAAAGATTAATAAATATGATAAATACACGATCAAACGACATCATCCCCTTTTAATCACAATGAAGGTGTGTGTCTGAAATACTGATGCCTCTATATGCTATTTTGATGGCAAAAGTTAGTTTCTAAGTTATTTTGTATTGTTTTATGGACTTTGTGATTGAATGCTGTTCGTTATCTCCATGTCCTTCTTTCCCAAATGCAAATCAAAATCCAAGCCCAAAATCAAAATTAAAAAGAATTGCTCCACAGAGCCAAAATGAATTTGAACTACCTTATATATACTGGATTCCGAAACTTCATAAGAATCCTTACAAACAAAGATACATTGTAGGTTCCAGTAAATGTTCAACCAAGCCTCTTTCCTTACTCCTCACTAAGATATTAACAGTAGTGAAGGAAAAACTTCAAGAGTACTGTGCAACTATATATTCAAGAAGTGGTGTGAATCAGATGTGGATACTAAAAGTTTGGACAATTTGAAATCACAAGACTTTACAAAAATCAACAGCTTAAAAACTTACGACTTTTCAACTTTATACACAACAATTCCCCACGACAAATTATAATCCAGGCTTTTTGATATCATTGACAGCTGCTTCCTCAATAAAAATGGAACTCGTAAATTTACTTACCTCGTCATTGGTCATTTGCAAAATTATTTTGTTAAAACAGATTCTGATTGCACACATAAGTACTCTGAAGTTGACATCAAGAAGATTCTTGAGTTTCTGATTGACAATATCTATGTGGTTTTTGAAGACCAGGTATTCCAACAATCTATTGGAATTCGCATGGGTACAAATTGCGCTCCATTATTAGCAGACTTATTTTTATATTCATATGAAGCAGAATGTATGCAAAATCCTATGCGTGAAAAGAAGAAAACACTTGTGGTGGCCTTCAACTCGACATTTAGATATATCGACGACGTATTGTCAATTAATAATGGTAATTTCCATTCCTGCGTCGATACGATATATATCCTGGTGAGCTTGAGATAAAAGATACCACAGAGTCTGACACCTCTGTTTCATACTTGGATATTTTACTTGAAAAAGACACCTAATGGTAATCTAATAACCAAGCTATATGATAAACGTGATGACTTTAACTTTTCTATAGTCAACTTCCCTTACTTATGCAGCAATATACCTTCATCGCCTGCATACGGAGTATATATATCAGTTGATTCGATACGCAAGAGCATGCTCTACGTATGAACAATTTCTAAAACGAGGTAAATTATTGACAAGCAAGTTCATGAAACAAGAATATCAGCAGTCTCGTTTAAAGTCATCATTTCGTAAGTTCTAAGGTCGATACAATGACCTTGTCAGCAAATACAATTTATCATTGAGTGAAATGCTGACTGACGTTTTTCATACCAATTGTTAGTCCATTATTTATACAATGAATTGACGACGGATTTTTTCCGTTATTTCCCGATCATGACAAGAAGCACACGGCGGATGTGACCGGTCGGCAGGGAATGCTCACTCCTCCATGGCACCTGATCCCACCTCTGATGTTTCGGGGGTCCGTGTTTGCTCTGCTCTTATTTGGTATTTGTTTATGGACTTTGAGATTGAGTACTGTTCGTTATCTCCATATCCTTCTTCCTACCAAAATAGTATTGTCACAAGAATCGACTTTTTGAATAAGAGGGTTCTAAGACAAACCTTTCAAAAGGTATGACAAAAGTTAAAATTTTAAATTACAGTTTTATTAGATGATTGAAGCTTTGAAAATCTGTGTTAATGTACAGAGATTTCGTCATTTGCTGAGATTGAATGCAATTAAATGTATGCAAGTATTAAAAAAATATTGCACACTCCTAATAATTAAGTCTATTTGTATACAAATGGGAATCTTACTAGTTTTTTGGGGGGCTTTGTTTAAGCTTTTAATTATTGAACCTGTTAAAGCCGAACTCACCTGTCTCTTTGCTTAGAACTATTTATTCAGTATTGTGGTAATTAGTAAACGACTTGCATAATCAATGAATATTATTTACAGTCGTGCTTCTCAATAATGCAATGTTCAAATAAAAAGGGTTCTGAAGAAATATAATTAATATTTGCATGAAATGAGAAAAAGCACAAGGAATTGTCCACCCACGTTTTGTTATTTGAACAATAAATTAGTTGGTTCAAGACGGCGCATTCAAGCTCACATATTAGCAAAATCTGAATTTTGGTTGACCGCAAAAGAATGTTAAAAACGGTCATATTTATTTGGTAAACTTGTCTCCTAAGGATCATTTGAGGTCAATCCAGTCCAATTATACAACTGTAGCAGGTACATTTAAAAAAAAAAAATTTTATCGATTCCTTTTTTTATTTTTTTTTTTATCATTTTATTTAGAAAGTCTAAGAAATCAATAAAATTTTGTGGTAGATAAAAAGAGTCTTGCTTATATTAAATAAAAGAATATTAAAACGATTAAATTTTTATGGTAGATAAAAAGAGTCTTGCTTAAGGATCCTATATATTTATTTATTAGCAGCAGGAATATTATAACAAGACACAAGAACTGTTGTTGTGTCGTGAAACTCTACATGTAGATAAATGGACGACCTTGTACACAAAAACTATAGCAATTATAATTCCAATTGCTGAGTTGCTATTTCTCAATTAATTTGGATTTTAAAAATTTCTTTGATAGCTACCCTGTAAAACAAAAAGAAAGAAGATAAATTCAGCTTTTCCATCATTACATTCTCTAATTTATGCGATAGTATACCAATATCAAACGGAAATGTATTTACATTTCCGAATTGATTCGAAAGCAAGAACATGCTCTGATTATCATCAATGTATAAACTAAGGAGAAAACTGACAAATTAGTTGAAACATTCAGGATTTCATACACGCAGCGCACTATGGTGTAACTGATCGACAAAGTATGCTTGCTCATCCTAGGCACCTGATCCAGGATCATTCAATTTCCAAGGATCCGTGATTATGCCCTGTTGAGGATTCGGTTTGTTTGATGAATTTATGAGATTCTTTATTCTCTGTTATCCTAACGATTTACTCTCTATTTTGCCAAGACACCTTTGTGAGTTCTCTGTTGAAAATGTTTTAGGTAAAGGTTTTCTTTTTTAAAATTGATATATTTTTTTTTCTTTTCCTCAATTAGAAATACCGGTTATTGATTCCGATTGTTTATTCGACATAGAAAACATGTCTTAGAACGAAAATAATTATACTCCCCCTGATAAAAGGGTTTTATGACTATATATGATTGACATTGGAATTGCTTTTTAAATTTAACTTGATTTCCATACATTTGATAGAATGCCTTAATTAATGACAATCACTATTTACTTAACAAATGGACTGGTCAAAGGACTGTTAAAGCAACATTAAAGAAACACGACACGCAATAGATCGTTTATAGATTCCATTTTTACATTTTCATGATCAATTATGCCATTGCCATATGTAAATAAAGCAAGGGCCAGTAACTGTTACTTGTACATCAGTATCTTGTTGATTTATTTTTATTAAACTTAATTCATAAGGTTCTCAAATAACTTTTAAATCATTAAAACATTTGATGGGGTAAAAAGGGACATCATTTTATCACACATTACTTAAAACAAATTAAGTGAGTTGAATGAAAGACAATTTTAACCTTTTGTGCACTGTAAAAAGATTTTAATAAATACCATTTATAGAAATTACAATCCCATCAATTAAATCTCTAAAAATCAAGAATTTTTAGCGTTTTGTTGAAGCATTATGGAATGACCGTATAAACTAAGGAAAAATTCATCAATATTCATCAAAAGCATTTGTAAATAGCTGTTAAGTCCAAGCGAAATGTTATTTCAAAGACATGAAATTTTTTGGAAAAGTAAAATTACTATTTCGTTTATTTTATGCATTTTGTAAATTACAAATCAGTTTAACATTTTTCTTAATAAAAGTTTAGAAAATATAAGCTAATTTTTTAGTTCTAATGAAATGATTTCAGTAAAGCTTTTGACCTATGAATGTCAATCATGATATTCACATTTCTTAAAAACTACAATGTTATAACTTTGAACAATCTGAAATAAC